AAATTTGTTGTAACGATGTATAGAATACATACCAAGTTAGCCATGCATAGAAACTTATGCACACAACCATAAGAACACAAAAATAACACAAACAAAACAATGAAGATGAATTATGCACGAACCACAAACATGGATCTTTGTATCTCCTGCTGGGATTCAAATGCGTGAGGATCATACCGGACATCTGAGCAACTGGTGTGGAAACCTATGCAACTAAGCATACAAATCACCCAACATCTTCGAAATCACAGTTCAACCATGCATAGAAACCTATGCTTGTAAGAAAAAAAATCCTAGATGAACAATGTTGCTGCCTAGAGGAGCCCCAGGACACACGGCATAGTAACCAAAGGAGCGCCTCTCGGATCTCAGGGAGCTTGGCCTCCTGCCTGTTGCCCCGATCGGATCTGAGGGGGCTCGGCCACCTCACTGCTACTGGACCGGCCTCCTTGCCTGGTGCCGACCGGATCTGCGCCACTTGGGGTGGGCCATCGTCGCCGTGGGGTGGGCTGCACAACCGCGCGCCCATCGTTGCCGTCCTTGTCGACAGATCGTAGCCATCCCCATGGGCGGCCGCGAGCTGCAGGGCACCGTCAGTCCCCGCTCGTCGAGCTGCAGAGCACCGTGGCCAGCAACGCCCCCTCCATAGTCTGCTCCCTTGCCTCATCGCGTGGAGGCAGTGCGCCACCTCCATGGTCCGCTCCCCCTGCCTCGTCGCGTGGAGAGCCGGCACCGCAACCTGCAACCAACCAAATCGATGGTGAGGGGCACATGCGTGGAGAGGGGGTGAGGGGAGGAGCGCATCACCTCGCCGCTAGGGGAGGGCCGCGCCGCCGCAGGTCGGGCGAGGGGTGGGGCCACACCGCTGGTAGTCGGGGAGGGGCGGGGCCGTGCCGCCGCCGGTCGGGGGAGGGGTGGGACCACACCACCATTGGTCGACATTGTCGTGAGCTCCAAGGCGCCGTCGCCGTTGCCGTCGATGCTCCAGGGCCCGACAGAGCACGCTCCAGGGGCGCGGGCGCGGTGCTCCAAGGGCGGCGAGCCGCGCTCCCGTCGGGGGATGGTGCGCAGCAGGGGTGACGGCGTGCGCTCTAGGGTGGGTTGCGGTGGGTGGCAGGGGGTGGCGGCCATGGGGTGGGTGGATGGGTGGGGATTAGGGTTTGGGGGTATATATATAGGGCCTGGTGGGCCGGTGGGTGGGCCAGTGTGCTGGTCTAGTTGGGCTTGGTGGCTTGGGCTAGAAGCTGATTTGGTGGAACTAGAAAACACTGATTTGGGCTGGGGCTTCCCGTAACTATTGGGAGCATAGGGCTCCCAATAGTGTGTGTGTATGCCGGATCACTTTGTATCCAACTTATTATATTTTAATCAACATTTGAACAATAACACAACTTGCCCTTCATTCCAAGTTTGCAACAATCCAAGGATAGACAAACTTTAAATGTATTTCTCTACTTGTTAATGTTTGCGCGTTTGACTGCACATATATATACTTAAGGTATGCTTAAATCTGTTCATTTTAGCTATATACAGAGAATGCATACAACTCATACAAAACCGTTGACCGAGTCACAATTAAGTCAAAAACGTATTAGATCTATCTCTATGCACAGTGGTCGAAATGAACAGTATAGTTCGTTTTAGTTTATCCTAAATTAACTTTTAAAATTTTGATCAAGCTCCACAGAAAAATACACTAACATCTACAACAATATATTAATTTTATTAAATTCCCTATGAAATACTTTAATAATTTATTTATCAAACTTAATATTTTTATATGTTTTCTTAACTCTATTAAAAGTACAAAAAAGGAAAAAAAAACGAAAGCAAAGCATAATTTGGAGCGGTGGAAGTAGAAATTTACTATCATTAAGCCGGCGAGCTTTGGCTGCCGCTCAGCCTGGCCATGATAGCACAAAAAAAATTAACCGTCTGATCTTCTTTCTACGTACTGGGTTCACCCCACTGTTTGTTACTGTATCCGGCCCTGCGTGTCATCAGTTCATTGGCTTGGGAACAAATATCTCTCTACCTCCTTCTCGACTCCTCCGACCAAAAAAAACGCCGGCCTCTCCTCTCGCCTCCTCGGTCCTCCGCTCACCCGTCGCCAGCCTCCGGTTTCCTCCGAGCTCGAGCGCTCCCGCTCGTCCATCCCGCGCCCCCTTCTTTCCATGGTTCCTCATCGGCTCTGCCATCTCTCCTCCCGCGACGGACATCCTCACCTGCGCCGCCACCATGCCGTGCCCTAGGGTTGGCAGGCCTGATCCCTGCCGCCTCCTCGCCAAGCCCTAGGGCTGGCCGACATCACTCCCCACGCCGCGACGAGCCGTAGAGCTGGCTGACCTCGCCTACAATGCCGTCACATGCCCTAGGGCTGGCCGTCCTCGCTCACGCCGCTGCCCGACGGTCCCCACGACCATCTTATTGGTAAGATATAAGATATGATACTTGGTTTCTCGATTTGGTATACCTATGTACCGATTCCATCGGTATGTATTTTATTTATTTTTTGCCAGTTGCATCGGCGCTTAGATATGGTGGTAAATCGATAAACGCCCTGCTGAGACGGCTGTAGTGCCATCTACCTCTTGCAATTTAGTGTCCATCTACTGCAGCTTCGGTCAAGATTATTGCTTGGATATTTGAGATGCTCTTTGTAGTTAGTGATGGTATATGCAGTTTGTTATGTATATTGTCTGTAGCCACATTGCAGTGGAGCTATCTTTATTTAGAAAATAATTACATCAATCGGGTGCTAAAAATTCCCCTTTAACTGCAGCCGCGGTCAAGATTATTGCTTGGATATTCGAGATGTTCTTTATAGTTAGTGATGGTACATGTTGTTGGTTAAGTATATTGCCTGCAACCACATTGTAGTGGAGCTATCTTTATTTAGAAAATAATTACATCAATCGGGTGCTAAAAATTCTCCTTTATCTCCTTTCCTACCTTGCAGGCGCGCGCGATGACGCGCATGATGGACTAGGGTAAAATAATGCATGCATGTGACATGCGTCCATATTCCAACAACCTACGAGTCTACGCACGACTAGTCAATATATATAAATATAATCTACATTCCCCTGTCCCGTTACTATAACATAATCAAGCTAGCTACGTACCCATGTCCCACAATTTGTCATAAACTATTCAATCTAGCAATTCAAACACGAGGTTTAACCATAAGCACATAAACTAAATATTGTCTACTTCTCATCACCACCAGCTTAAATATGCTGAATTTAGTTACATCCCCATATGCATCAATGCATGCATCACAAGGGTTCTCTAGTACTATATATATGTATGAGAAGTACAAGTAGCAAATTGAGTGTAAGATTCTTTGTGGTAGAAGAACGTGTCAAATCACCTAGTAAGTCTCTAATAACTCGGCAGTTGCTCACGTTCACGGTTATATTTGGTTTTCAGAATTCCAGTGCAGGCGACGTGTGGCAAGATCAAGGACATATAATATATGATGAAACTTGTGCTTACGCAAACTCTAATACAGCGACGGAGCACGGCACAAAATCAAGGGGGGGCCAACTTGATAAAAAGACAAATGAAATATGTTGACATCAGAAATAAAACCATATATACTATGATAAATTTAACTAATCACATATTAAATGACTACAGAGACTGTCAGACTACTCTTAACCAAGTTATGGACTAAAACTAGCTAGTTATATATATTTATAGTTGGGTCACATTTCACAAAATGCAAGTGACCACAAACTATATTTGAGAATTTTGTTTTGGACAAGGGGGGGCCGGAGCCCAGTTTGGCCCCTACTGTGCTCCGTCCGTGCTCTAATAAAAGAGGGGTCGCGCCGTCTTCCTTATCACGCTCGCCTCCTCCTGCGCCTTTCTTCTTCCTCTGCCACCCTCTCCCCCACCCTCCACCACTAGCGCCCACGCCTGCGCCCGCGCCGGAGAGGAAGAAAGCGAGGAGGTCACCGGCGGCAGGGTTCCGACGGGGTTAGGTTATCCCTAGCATCCTTAGAAGGAAAATTTGGGGGAGGCAGACCGGTCAGGCGGTGGGGATGGCAAGAGGACGGTGTTAGGGTTCTGGCAGCAGAGGAGGTGGCTGGGCTAGGTCGGAGCAGGGGAAACGATGTCCATGGCGGCGGCGGGAGGGGGGAAGAAGGAGGCCACCGTGCTACGGCAAGGCGGTGGGCAGCGGCAGGGGCGAGGATGAGGAGGAGGGCAGGGTCGAAGGGCGGGGGCGGGGGCGGGGCGGGAGGTGCGGCCAGCGGCGAGGCTACTGCTGGCCGGCGTGGTGAGGGTGGGGAGGAAGGGCGCACAGGAGGAAGACAGACACGTAGAGCGAGGAAGGCGGGGTGGAGCCGGGTCGTGCGCAGCCGGAGCGCGCGACCGGCCACGCTATATCTTCGTCCTTTTGTTTAATTGTGTGCCAACAATTAATAAGAAACTAAGTAAAGACAATATTACGATGACCGTCCACGTACAACGCATTCAAGCCCAGCATATTGCATATACGACCTGATTTACTAAATGATACAACCAACTTAAAGAAAATTCTTCGTTAGTTGTTCTTATAAAAATTACATATACACACGCACAAATCGCTTCTGAAAAGAGAGTGAGTTGAGGGTCCCGTCTTCCACAATCTCTCTTCTCCATCAACCGCGAGAATCCGCATCTTCCTTTAATTGTAGCACGAGCCATGACCTTTCCATTAGCTAAGCTAGGGTTTGTTAGAGCTAGCTAGTCAGTACTCACCTTAAATACGGCGCCACTATCGCCATCACATCACACAAGCAGCAGCAGCAGCAACCACACAAACTAGCTAGTCACAAATGGTTGCTGATAGCTACTCACCTAGCTAGCTTGTTCATGCTAGCTTCATCACTTGTGGACTTGCTGCATGACAGCTACGCCTCAATCTAGTTTAGGGCTAACAGATCCGGACTGATCAAGCTTTCTAGTCGAGATTTGCATCTACCATCAGCTATTAGTAGAGCACTACTGTGATGGACGACGGCGGCGAGCCAACCAAGTACCGCGGCGTGCGGCGCCGGCCGTCGGGGAAGTTCGCCGCCGAGATCCGCGACTCCAGCCGGCAGAGCGTGCGCGTGTGGCTCGGCACCTTCGACACGGCCGAGGAGGCCGCAAGGGCGTATGACCGCAAGGCCTACGCCATGCGCGGCCACCTCGCCGTGCTCAACTTCCCCGCCGAGGCGCGCAACTACGTGCGCGGCGGCGGGTCGTCGTCGTCATCGTCGTCTTCCCACCAGCAGCAGCAGCAGGGAGGAGGAGGAGGAAGCGGCGGCGGCCGGCAGGTGATCGAGCTGGAGTACCTGGACGACCAGGTGCTGCAGGAGATGCTCAAGGGCGGCGACGGAAAAAATAACTAGCGTATCCGATCAGGTGACGTTGAATATGACCAAGCGATCCATCTTCTGCATGCATGCACCGGTGTATATCTGCAAGTTTGTTTCTTATTACAGGTGCATGCATGTACAAAGTTTGGAATTATGATGCTCTTGGTGCTCAATTAAAGTACTATAGTGTGATCCATGTATTGAAAAGGTTGTTTTGCTTAATCGCATCATGATTTGCACGTGCTTGTTTTGCTTAAACAACCCATAGCCTTTGAGAAAGGCTGTAAACTCTCAGGCTCTCACCTCCTGATGTACATATCGTCGGTAATTCATGCATGAAAAGATCTACTTATTGGGAGAGGGAGCTGCTACTGCAATTTTTATGAATTCATTTAGTTACTAATAAATTGACCGTATATTTTCAAATCAATTGGAGCATTTTCAGTCAGCACCGTAAATTTTAGATTCACCTGTCCTGCACCAGAGATAATCTGGAAAGGCCGCCAGACACTTACAAGGCATATATGATTTGTTGGTTCCACAGAATAGATAGGCATACAATAAGTTCTGGAAACCATAAATATACTATGATTGTTACTGCTTGTCAGAAAGCCCAGTGCCTATATATGCACGCAGTTAATAATGGATGCATGAAAGCACGGCACAGGTATAGGTTTGCTTTACCACAAATCTTACTCTCTAGCCTTTTGCAACTAAATTCATCGCAAATAATGGTTCCTGTATGCAGGCAGATGTGCATTTACTTGTGTCATATGTTGAAGATTAGAGCTGCCATACAAAATTTGGCACTAATTTCAAGTTGTATAGAGTTTATTAGTCTCTCTTCCAAGAAATTGGCATTTTACTTTGTCATTTTGATGATTTGCATTTAATTACTTTGATGTTGATGACTAGAGCTGCCTCTGAACTGGATAAAGTCATACAATTTTAGGTTAATTTCATAATTTGACACTCATATATGAAACATTTTTTTTTGTAATACTCACTCTGTCCCAAAAATCTTTGATGTTTTAGGATTCAAAATTTATCCTAGAAAAACCTGATGTTTTAGGATTCAAAATTTATCCTAGAAAACTTGATGTCTTAACTCTTGGAACTAGGTTGGACCCATATCAACTTGAAATTCTGGTCTGCATTCCTCCATACATTCCATTTAATTAGCAGATTATTCCTTAATTAGTATGGACCACTCTCAATAAATAGGAGTATGTGGGTAATTTCAATTGAGCACTAATATGCCTCAAAAATCTTAAAACATCAAGTTTCATATGTTGACAATTAGAGCTTCCTCTAAACTGGACACTTTTAGGTTAGTTTCATAACTTGACACTCCATACATGAAACAATTTTTGTAAGCTGCTATATGCGAAATTGTACTGAAAGATTTATTGTGTAATTTGTATCTTCTCATGTAATATATACTTTTAGGATCCATAGTAAATACTCCCTCCACCCCTAAAAGACTCTATCTCTAGTTTTGTCCTAAGCCAAACCATTTGAAATTTGACCAAGGTTATATAAAAAAAATCAACATTTATGATACCAAAGTATCATTGGATTCACCATGAAATATATTTTCAGGATATACGTACCTACCTAACTTTATAGTGTGAGTTTGGGTGTTTGTAAAGGTTCTTTCCCATTTTTTCTACTTAAGGCATACCTATCTGGGGTTATAAATATTGAAACTGTTCTTTATAAACTTGATGGAATTTAAGATAGTTTGACATAGGAAAAAACTAGAAATAAGGTTTTTGGGGGACAGATGGAATAATATATATACCCGGCCAGCAAGGTAAGTTATTATTTGTAGATAAGGTAGTAATTCTAAGAATTTTAGAATTTTTTTCTTCCTCAATCATGTGTTAAAATGCAACATATGGATTAACTTATGAAGTTAATGTAAAAAGAGATCCAAAAAACAAAGAACATTTGCATCCTACATCATGTTATGCATGAAGCAGACGGTTAAATTGCGTTCAGGAGGGTTGTGGTGTAGTTGGTAACACACAACTAACGCAAGTAGGAAGAAAACAGGTAGCTATTGAGTATATATAGCACAACCTAGAGCTGCATGCATCTAGTCAACACAAGGAGAGATGAACTAGATGCATGCATCTAGTCAACACAAGGAGTGAAGAAAAATGTGGGAAGATCATTCATATTCTTAAGGAAACCTGAATTTCATTATTCTAACCGTTCTACCCTATATTGACCAATAATTGTAGGTAACTAACATGAAATTGAAGAAAAACCAAATATTTCTAAGAAGAAACTAATAAATTTGATATCACCTAATATGTATAAGTTGTGGAAATATTCATTTTATTAGCCTGAGTACACACTCATAAAACAATATCCACAATTCCACATTTTAGCCCAGCTAGCCTGTGTATTAGTTCCCAAGTAATTACAGTCGTTGCTCTCCCCACACCTTCTATTGCATTTTTTCACATCCATCCTCTATTCTTTAGGACTTAAGTTCTATACTCCATAATTGTTATTATCTCAGTCTTGGCTAGCTGGTATCTCACGCGCGTAGGTAGTCTTGGGGCCATCTAAGGTCTCTGCATCCACAAATCAGGTTACCAGAGAAGCTAGCGCTAGCGAATACATAAACAATCCAATCAGATGGGGGAGATTTCAATTTTGACTTAAAAATTGGCTGTAGATTTTTTATGTACACCATGTTGTTATTATTTACATAAACATACCTGGTTCCCTGATAGACCAGAAAATAAAAACCTTGGTTTTCAGATGAACTGATCAACATACCTTCTGTCAGTCGAAATGGATGCATGTAAAAGCTAAGTGTAGTTGTTTGGATATGTTTTTGTTTATTTGGGAGTCGAGCATCGATCCTTTTACAATATGGGGCAGAGATCCATCACATGTGTAATTTGTCGTCACTTGATTAATTACTAAATAATAAGGTTAACACAACTTGGAGCGTTTAATTATAGCTATGAAAAGTATGAGTTTTACTGTACAAATTAACGCACACAGCTCGCCTTGAATAAACACGTAAGAAGGCTGAACTTTGAATGATTGGTCCTCGTTCTCCCAAAGATGGGCTGTCCAACAATAATTTCCTTTTTTTTAGAGGAAACCACAGCAATTTCTTTACGCCTTCTGTAGGGACAGTAGTTATGAAAAAGGGCTGTTGTTTGAGTTCAGGTTCAGTGGATGCACTGGTTCTAGCTAGCTGCTTGCTACTGCTAGTATGACCATGTTATATGGTTGCTGGAGCCTGGAGATACAGTAATAGGTAATGAGCAAGTGGTGCATATTATGCAGAGGTTCAAATCATGATTCTTTTGCTTAATGCTGAATTGCTGATGCTGTAAAGGAGTGACATGTATACGTAATCGAAATTACGTAAGATGAGGCGTAGGTGTTTAAACAAGAGTATAAAGTGGAGGGGTAAAGGATTGAATTGATTCACAGATAATTAACTTGGAAACAACATAATGGCTATACATGATCTCTACCAGGAGGAATAAATTAATTAGAGCATGTAGGTAAAGGTAGCAGACTTTTCTTGCTCTGAATAGCACAGCAGCAGTAGGCATGGTTTCAGATTGATTTATGTGTCAAGCATATAGATACAAAACTATATAGTGAGTAACTGTTAGCCCCTGGATCTCCGCACGGGGTGAGCCCGCTCACCGGTGTTACCGACCACACACTATAGTTAGAGATAGAAGAAGGGAGTGAGAACAAAGCGCGCGCGCACAGCACAAACACCAGCGTTGGCCGGAGCTCTGCAGAGGAGATGGCAAAACTGAACTCGCTCTTTTTACTGAGTTGTAGTGCGAAGCTATATATACAACTCTATCCATCTAATCCGAGTACACAGACACGCTAGACTGCCATGCTGCTATAGTGACTAGATGTGACAGCAGGGCTGACTTTGGCGTCTGCCCCTGCTGTGACTATAGTCGGCGGGGAAAGCCTTTCGACACATGTCCCTGCCGTGGCTATAGTGCAGCAGCAGGGAGTCCTTTCGGCGCCTGCCCCTGCCGCACGTTCACATGGTGAGTACTCGAGAATCAGATTCATTTTTAGCGCTAGCTGGTCCTTGGGCTGAGCAAAGGCTAGGCTTTTTTGTGCTTTGGTTAGATTTGCGGATCAACCTTTTTCTAATCAGCTGGGAGCTGAGAGTGAGCATGCAAGCAATGCAAGCTTCTAGAGAGAATTATTAGCTGCCGGAGACATGGGTCCTCCTGACATCAAAGTTTTTTTTTGACGACCAGCCTATTCGCTTGTTGGATTCAGCCAGAACTTATCAGTCAGTTAACCGTGTTTTTCTCTCACAACAAACCAGCATTAGTCGGGCTTATCAGCCTAGAAACCAACCAGCGAACAGGCTGTACATAAGCAGAAAAAGAAGCGTCAGTGTGCGGTGTCTGGGCATAAACTAAAGTCAAAATTTTTAGTTATCTAAAAACAAACGTAGTATATATACTATGTAGCAGGAGGGAGCATGTGGAGGTATGGCGTTTTATATCATTATAGATATATGCTATTATACTTGGTGAGAATTTGATGCTCTACTGACGACCGGGCCGGGCAAGTTGAAACCAGTCAAAATTCATGGTTATATTTATCTCAAAAAAAATCATGGTTACTGATGCATGCATGCAAGGACTAGTCATGGGTGTACGGAGGGCTTTTGTCTCCTCTTCTCTGCAGAACAAAGGAGAGACAGGAGCCCACTGTACAGCAATTCTCTATCTCTAAAGTTGACGAGCACGTTGATACACACTAAATTAAAGGAGATCAACAGGTACAAATACAATATATAGGTGTGCATACTCTTACTTCTTAGGTACTGTTATAATACTGTATATATATGAAAAGCCCACAGTATCTCTTTAATTTTGGGTGAAGTACTGCAATCCTTTATCCTTGATTCCTTATATTCTAGTATAGATTGTTATTTTAGTTTTTGTGCAGTACTACGCCGTCTGAATGAAAATTGACAGCATGCATGTGCAGTCGATCGAGTTGGGTCGTCTGGCCTCGTTAAGCATAGTGTATTTCCCCATTTGAATAGGCCCATATGTATCTTCTCTTGGCCTATATAGCCTTAGTTAACTCCACCTTGAATTCAGCTGTATTCCTTGTTCTGATAACACATTCTGGGTACCGGTACTAACCGGAAACAGATGAGATATTGTTGTTGAATCAGACGTCCATTGATAAAAAAATGTCAGTCTCATCGTTAATCAAAGAGTACAACTGCTATCGAAAAAGCTTTAGATTCTGTAGAACTCCCTGCGATATCAATTAGACAGGCGAGAAATCTTGTGTTTGCCGGTTCAAATATTTTAGAAAAAAAAACAGAGAAAAACCAATGGCCCACGTAAGTATCGAAACAAGACACACAAGACTTGTTTCTTTTATTCATTGATGATACACAAACTTAGCAAAGCATATACATGGATCATGGATGCATCCTGATGGAAACACACGGGAAAAGGTGGGTACACACACATCGTCCATACATAGTACTGCAGTAGTATATATAAAGAGAGAGCTCACTCTTACACAAATATAGTATTACTTATTAGTCATAGCGAAAAGCTATAGGTGATATGCACGTTGACTGGTGCCACTATGCTCCTCTTAGTTCCCTTCCATGACGGCCGTGCCAATGGGTGGTGAAAGAGACGGTGGCTCTGGCTTGGATGGTTCAGGTTGGGGTTTTGGCTCTGGTGTAGGTTTGGGCCTTGGCTGGGGCTCTGGCTTGGATGGTTCAGGTTGGGGTTTTGGGCTTGGTTGAGGATCTGGCTGAGGTTTAGTTCCTGGTGTAGGTTTGGGGATTGGCTCAGGCTCGGGCTTTGCTTCAGGTTGTGGGGAGGGTGGCTGTGGTGTTGGTTTTGGTTCAGGCTTTGGATCTGGCTGCGGTGTAGGTTTGGGTTCTGGTTTTGGGTCTGGTTGTGGTGTGGGTTTTGGTTCTGGTTGCGGTGTCGGTTTGGGTTCCGGCTTTGGGTCTGGTTGTGGTGCAGGTTTCGGTTCCGGCTGTGGTGCCGGTTTAGGTTCTGGCTTTGGATCTGGTTGTGGTGTGGGTTTTGGTTCAGGCTGTGGCGACGGCTTGGGTTCTGGCTTTGGGTCTGGTTGTGGTGCGGGTTTTGGGTTAGGCTGCGGTGTCGGCTTGGGTTCTGGCTTTGGGTCTGGTTGCGGTGCGGGCTTTGGTTCAGGTTGTGGCGTTGGTTTGGGTTGCGGCTTTAGGTCAATTACCCTACTATGAGCAAGGCTAGGAACATTTGCTGCCAGTGTAATGGCTAGGGCTAAGTGGAAACATAGCGAGAGGAGGCCGGACCTCATGGTCGCCACCAGTCGAGATGGGTGCTTGATCTAACTCCAATCTCTATCTGTTCGATCTCCAGTGCAAGCTGGGGAACGCTTGTGCACAGATGGCAACGACGGCATGGCTGATTTATAGGCATTGAAAGCCAACCGAGGCTTGACGCGTGTCCATGTCCGTGTTCGTGAGTTTGCCACGGCACTGGCCCTATATAGCATGCAGCTTTTGGATGTGTGTATATAACTTTAGCGCCCACCAGACAAATCACTGTGTCGGAAAAGAGAATTATCATTTGTGCGAAGGTCATTTTCATGCATGTTCTATTAGTGAAGTACTTGTTTCATTCTTCGTACGACGTAACTGCAGCCTGTTACTAGTTGGTAATAATTGATATAATATATAGTGTTATAAATAAGCTGCAGTATTATATGTATCACAGCTAGTAGTAGTCACTACAGAATGGATTTTGGAGATGGATATTTATTATTTTAAGAGACGATCAAGCTGTCTGTCTCTAACCAATGGTCGCGGTTAATCGTTAATTTATTTCGTTATTTATAGAGGCGGTAGAAAACCCAAAAAACATAAAAAAAAATTGTGACCTGCTGAGGATTCAAACCCACAAACTACAACTCAGTACTAACACTTCCTTACCATTGTATCGTACAATCACTTGTCAGTATATAATGAATTCTATCTTCTTTTTTTTTACAAATATTTCATAATCTTGTATTGAATATTTTGAATACTAAATAAACTCAACTAAAAAAAGGTTTTCAACTACAAAATTTTAAATCTTGTCAAACACTACAACTTTGGTATAGGATGTATCTCCATTCAAGATTGTTTGAAAAATTCAAAAATTTGAATATCAAAGTATGTTAATTTAAAACAAATATTTAAGACACCAAAAAACTTCAAATCAAAAACTTATTCACAGAAAAACATAGATCAGGTCGGGTACTACAACTTTGATATTGACTATGTGAACATTCAAGGCCATTTAGAAATTTTGAATTTCAAAATCTACGAACTTAAAACACATATTGAAGACTCTAAAATGCTTCAAATCAAACAAATTTCAACTGTAAAGTTGTAGATTGTATTGAGAACTACAACTTTGGTATATACCATGTCAACATACGAGGTTGTTTGAAAATGTTAAATTTTAAATTTCAAAATCCATGAACTATTTATCGACACAGACATCTTGAAATGACCGCCTCTAAAAAATGATTTTTAGATACGGACGCTTAAGATGTCTGCCTCTAAAAATTGATTTATAGAGATGGATGTCCTAAGATGACCACCTATGTTAATTGATGATTCTGAGAGGTAGTCGCGTTAGGACGCTTGCCTCTGTAAATGATTTTCAGAGGAGAACATTTTCCTGGAGGCCGCCTGGCCATTTATGAAGGCGGTCGCTAGATGTTCCCACCTTTATTAATTAGAGAGGTTGTCTCCTAAAATCGTCTTTATGGTAGTGAGTACTAGATGTCTAATTACACTAGTACAAAAATGGTTTTGTCAAGAAAAAATTCACCGGAGGTTCATAATAAACAAGCACTAGTAGAAATAAAACTTTGGGCCCATAGCTATGACCCATCAGTGGAGAGTGTGTCTAATAGGGGATTTCCTAAGGTTACCACTAGTACAAATTGTCTACTTATAATGACGGTAGGCTCAAGACAACCACAAATGTAATTTGAACTTACACTAGCGCTTATCTTAAGAATACCGCATGTGATCTAGGGTCTGTACTAGTGATAACTTTAATAAAACCACCATTATAGATATATTTATATTGGCGATTTTCTTAACCTACCGCTAGTATGAATAATTTAATTTTTTTTTTTTTTTTTTAAATTACCTAGGATGGAGAAATGTTTACACTGGCGTGACTTGTGACTTAAGCCATTTCTAGGTGGCTAGCGGGCCTCTCCCAGGTTAAAACAAAAATTTTATTATTATTTTTTTTTGGTCTGGTTTACAAATTCTAAAACTATTTGTAGAGCCAGTTTGTGTATGCATGTCATCAGAGTAAATCGATTTAAACCACCTTAAGCCAACTGCCAATATGGCCCCGTTTGGCAGGGCTTCTCCAGCGGCTTCAGGAGCCGTTTGGAGCCGTTTTCTGCCAAACGGGGTAAAATGAAACGGCTCCACCGATGAAGCCCCTAAAAACGTGCTCTCACAGAGCTTTGGGGTGGGAAGGAGCCAAAAATAGTGGCTTCTCCCGGCTCCTCCTCCAGGCCCCTAAAAACATGCTCTCACAGGGAAGCCATTTTGCCAAACGGTTTACCAAAACCGCTTCAGCTCCACCGGTGGAGCTGTTCGTGGAGCTGAAGCAAAAAAAAATGACTTCACTAGTGAAGTGAAGCCCTGCTGGCGGTTTTCAAACTTATTAAGTCAGTGGAAAATCATCATTTTTACTACCTTTCACACTGATGGTTCAAAAAAAAAGAATTTGAAAATCCAAAAAAGTACCGTCAGTACTAATGTTTTTCTGTACTAGCTAGTGTAAGATGTTGTTACAGGTATCACGCGGTTATTTGATCAAAAGTCAGAAAAGAATAGTAAGAAAAGGAAATTTGGAGAAAGCTCGATGGATCGTGCGACAGATCAGACCTAACTTTGACAGTATCGGAGTAGTGCGGATCGACGCACGCGAACTAGTTCATTACCAGCCAGTGTTGTAGTACATCCATATATATGTATGTGTGTGTTATTTTACATAACAAGTTCATGATGCATATATAATATATGCTGTACGTGTTGCTGTGCAGTTAATTAGTTAAGATTCTGGGTCTGGGGCACTATATATTTTTTCGTTACCAGCCAGTGAGGCAGTGACCCAATGTGTTATACTAGTATGGCGGCGCGCGCATTCGCGCGCCCGTAGGAATTGCTTTTGAATGTAGTTGTGGAAACCGTTTTTTATTGTCGGTACCTGCTGGTTTTTATGGTTTATTTTGTAACATAGATATATTTTTAGGAAATTTGCGAGGTTTTGATTCTCTGTGGATCATGGTACTGGTAAGAAAATAGAGCTGCGACAGTTGTCTGATAACATTTTAGCATAACTTATCTAGGATTTACAAAAGGATGATATAGTTTCATATACAACCGGAACATCAAGATTTCATAGCGACAGTTCGAGCTGATACATCCATAGTACGTGGTTCCCATAGCTATGTCTAGATTACAGAAACGGCAAATAGTACATAGAAGCTGATGCATCATAGGCTGATGCATGCAGCACAGAGTTCGATGCATTGTAGTTCGATAATTTACATATAGGTTTGACTTCTTTGAACAGCAGTCTTTTTGGGACGCAAAAAGCTTGTTATATGTCGACAATCATCTTCTTTGTCACAGAGACATGACAAATAGCACATAGAAGTAGATGTTGGCTTACTCCAAATGAGTGGCTCTCTGCATCGTCTTCTTTTTTTTTTTTGCACGGAAAAAACCAGTTAGCACTATACTCGGTATCTATGTTTAGAGTTTGTCTGTAGAGATGTTCGGACATAAAAAGATGGTAGGTTAAATTTCTTTAAAGCATACTTCTTTGATTTTGATTACGAGGAGGATGGGCGTGGTTGTTTGGCACGGTGATCTTCTTTGTGTGTCTGTAGCTTCGGCCAATCGATTAATCGCCAAGAGCTTCTTGCGAGCACCTGTCCGTGTTGTTCGTGACCTTACATAAATTGGGATTGTTTACTGACTATGTATATTGCTTGTAACCAGTATACATGTGTCTATCTACTGCGGAGTTTAAGTGTAGAATGGTGGACTATTATGTACCTGTCGACATCATGTTTGGAGGCTTCATGTTCTAGCTCGCTATCATGTCTTTGGAGTCTCAGAAGACGAAAAAGTTGGTTAGTGGAGTACAGGTAGATCAGCTGGAATGGTTTTGCTAAAGAAGCTGTAAAATTTGCTTACCGATTGTTCAGCGGCCTCAATCAAGAAGCGGATCTGCTGAATGTTCGGACTCTCAACGATTGGTGTTGGGCTTGTTGTGTGAGGCGGGTGATCTTGAGATGTTGCCATGACTCTGCAGCGGAGGCGTTTGATGGCTTTGTCTAAAACTGCTTTGACTGGTATTGCCTTTTTTTCATACTTTTTGCACGATTAAATCGAGAAGATCAATGATAACACATATGTCTTGTTAAGTATGTTGTTCATTGCACGAGGCAATCCTTCTTTATATATGCAATGGGTTCACTAATGCACGCACTCTTTTTGAATTATTTTGGTCGCTTCATCATCATATGCAAAGAAGCGTGCTTCATCTGTGTTATCTTTTGCAATAAATGATAATAGGTACCTGTAGAAGTTATAAATAACGAAAGGTGTAGATAGGTTGGAAAATATTCAGTTAATTTACGAATTTGAAATGGGGAAAAATCTTTGAAAAGCTACCTAGGAACTGTTGTTGTGCCTCCACACTTTGGGCATCTGTAGGTACCATCTAGTCTTGATCGACTCTTTTTTTTGCATGGCTTGCAAGACATGTACCACCGATTAGTAGTGTTTGTGATAGACACAATTGTTCTTTGCAACTTTGTATGCGGCCCTCTTTCCCTGCACGGAAGCAAGTAATTCAGGAGTTTTATACTCTAATAGTTTCTGTTTTTTACTGAGACTTGAACAAAAAAAAGCTCATATGGCATTGCTTGAAAGAGCCACCAAATTTGGCTGGAATATCTGTAACAGGGTGCTTTTTAGGAGGATGAGTTTATAGGCTTCTGTTGTTTACTTACCATGTCATCAAAGGGATCAATATTGTAACAGAACCGACCAAATCATAAGAACGTAAGTACAAAAACAATCACCGAAGCGATCAAATTCCTGTACTTAAGCTCCCATAATCCCGGTAGTCCGGAAATCACGAAGGATTTCAACCAACTCTCGACATACAAACCAAGATCGTAATGATTCAACACAACACATCATTCGTTACAACATTTCACAAGTAGCGTTCGGATTACATCCATCAGAGTTCAAATAAAAT